GATGACACACCTTCTTGAATGTTTTGCAGCGTTCCACACAGGTTGTAGCAAAACGAGGCTGGATTTCGAAAGGTGGACTTTTTCAATCTTCCAAAGGCTGACGTCCACGCTCCACGAAAATATTAGAAAGCGGAAACTTCGCTTTGAGAAAAAACGGTTCTGGGAAGTAAGTTGGGACAAAAGAACTTTTGAACGAAATAGCTTAGCAAAAGCAAGAACTGAAAATACTTTGACCTCCTAGGCTTGTTATTTTAGTGGTCTGCTTCCCTCCAGTCCTTGGCAGATTCGTTGAACGTTGCTTCAGTGAGAATGCTTTTTAGCCTAAAAGACGGCGCGGTCGATTTGGGGAGGGTGTGGTCAGAATCCAATCCGCGAGTATCGTGTTTGGGTCCGTGGTTGGATTGAAAGGGATCATGTGAAAGTGAGAGATCGCCATTTGGGTCCCTTACCTGCCACTGGAATATCATTTGACCAGAGATTCCCCTCCCCCTGGGTAGAGCTTTCCAAGATTTGGACCCCGATGATGGTGAGATCGGGGCACATTCCTGTCGTTCGAGGAAAATCCCCCAAGGTACGCCCTTCTCCCCTTGAGCATTTTCTCCTCAGCTGAGCCCCCCCCCCTTTCCAATTTCTCATCCTATCTATCATCCCTCTGAACTCCCCCAACGTCTTACCATTTTCAACGCACGTGAGACAGGGAAAACCGAAAAAAGACAACAACAGAGTTTTCCCAAAAATAAAGACCCCTCCCTCTTCCTCCCTCCAGCGACCAACTCGCATACAAACCCAACGACGACGTGCCCTAGCCTGAACACAATATCACGTCCGTTTGACTCGAAACCCTTCACCCCTAATAGCTGAAAACTCCAAATCTGCTGGAAATTTCCTTCTAAGGACATTTCGACCCCTGAAAGCGAATACTACCTGGCACCTGCTGTGGTGGCGCCGGCGAAAAAAGTAGCCTGTGAATTTGGCATCTGTGACGCATAGCGGTTTCGTGGGAGCAGGAACAAAATTTGTGTTCAGTAGATCAGAGTACCGTTGCGAACGGAGTTTTGGCCAATTACCCCTGCGGGAAAACTTCGGTCAAAAAGTGGCTCAAATTCCGCGGAGTGGGATAGGAAAGGGCACAGTTCGGCGACGGAGGGGGGCATTTTGTACTATCATTGCTTCCCTGGTTCCGGTTTACAAGTCTCACTCTGGCGAAACCTGTGAACTCTTGTGAAGCTGGAGCAAGGTCAAGCCATCATGTTAAAACCTGTCAACTCGAGAAGAGGCTGTCTAGATAGGTCGACACGTCGATGGGAAGTAGCAAAAGTGCAAAATGCCCCCCCCTCCCCCTCCGTCGCCGAACTGCACCTAAGAAAGGGTTAAAAGTGCCGAGGATTGGAAGGTTCATAATATGACTGGGATGTGATATCAAGAACAGCCCCGAAAATGGCACGAAGCCATAGAATCGCCTTCGTCGCGAGCAACCACGCACACTACACAGCTACATGGAACTGATAGCGATAGCCTTTCTTTGTGGTCAAATTGTTGCCGTATGTTGTCATCATTTCAAGAAGAGATTTGAAAAAAGTACAATGTTCAAGAAACTTGTTCGGATTGCGGAACGGTAATGCCAGATAGAATGCGTAACGTAGAAAATCACTCAGAAGAATCAAGAACAGTTACACTGCAAGCGAAGATCAGGGAATCCAAAAAAAATGAAACCTTCAATTACGTACTTGCGCGCTTACGCAAGTGTTGGGCGGGTTTTACGAGGAATATGTTTCTGAAACGAGCAAACGAAAGAGGTAAACGTGCCTGTATCCCTGTAGAAAAAGATTGGCATTAATGTTATATTGGTGTTTACTTTGCGCGCAGATCCACCGCGAAAAATAGAAACAGTGTTGAATCGACGCAAAAATCAGACATTTTGGCATGTTTCGGCCTTGGAGGGGAGTTTCACTTTTCGCTAATTCCTTTCGAGTACATGTTAACAAACAGGTTAACACCCGTAAACGCTTGAGAAGCTGCGAAACGGTACAAGTGAGCCTTATTACAGGTCTTAACAAACTGGCTTCTACAAGCTTTGCTGAGTGTCAATCACTTCGTGCCTCCACCAAGTCGAATAGCGCCAGTTGTTTCAACAGTGTATCATGCGGGAAATGTCATTGTGCGTTGGATTATAAAGCGCCTTTGTTTTTACACCAGCAAAATGTATATATACACATTGCCGTTGAATTGGTAAAATGGACTTTCGGCGACCCAGATTAAATATCAGGATTATGCAAGATGGAAAGCTGGTTAGTTTCAGTTGCACTAGTTGAAGGGAAGGTAGAAATTGGCCAAAGTTTGGCCTGGGGAGGGCAATAAATGGGGTCCATTATAGCCTGTCAGGCAACCTAGTGAAACCTATGAACTAATGCAATCATACTTGCTCACTTCCGTTCGCAGATTCCAAGAGTTCACAGGTCTCAGCAAAATAAGACCTGATTGCTCACATGAATGAAGAAAGAAGAGGAGCAGCAAGAGTGCGAAATGCCTATCCCAAGCCGAATAGAGCCGTAGAATTGAAGGTCCCTGGACACACTTACAGGGGTTGTGGAATCGTGGCTGAACAAAAGCCGCTGTTACGTTGAGTGGACGTGCCCCAGCTGATTGTTTTTGCCGTGTTTCCTTACCCCCTCCTTTGGTTTCGGGTTGGATCGATAATACTCGAGCTTTCGAAAAATTTTGCTTTCTGGTACTTTCTTTGGTAGGGGAATGGCGATTTTCAGGGGCAGCAATTATTCACAGTCTCTTTAGAGACAAGTTTGGTTCAGGGGTGTAGACGAGATCACATTTGTCACCGGACGGCTCTCACACTTATAATAAATCATCGTTAGTGAATGCCGGACGATTGTTATTACAAGCTTTGGCAGCAGGTATGATGTTGCTTCACGCGGCCAGGCAAATCGTCCCTCAATGTGAGGCCAACTCGTCCGGAAATTTGGGCCTACGTGCATTTACCTCAAGTACTGTGGTCTATTGGAACGCAATGAGTACTGAAGCCAACAAGCACGTTTGTTCTGAAGCTCACTGCCTACGAAACACCTCACTCAGAGTTTATGTTATTCAGACAAGTTCTCGTCACCTTGCGTATAATGGGTACCAAAATCAATCTGTCATTATATAAACATCAAAAGTAATGTGATCGCTAAAAACGTTACTCGTTTTCGCCTGAAGCTTTCGTTATCTGTTTTTCCGCTTACTCCTTCATTACTTTGAGGCTGATTGCTTCTTTTATGAATTTGTCTTCATGCTGAATATTGCAAACCTTCCGTCCTTCAACCTGATTCCTTCTTTCATTATTTATTGTGCTCTGATGTGTTGCCTGCTTAGTTGTCTATCTGCTAGTGTTCAACTTAACCCTCTATTCGCCTCTCTTTTTCGACGCCAGTCTGTCAATATGTCTGTATCTTTGCTTGCCAGTCAATCGTCAGTCGATCAATCAGCCCTTCAGCCCTTTCTCTTTATCTTTCTGTCTATCTCCTGCCTGACTACATGTCAGCCTGTTCATCTGTCTGTCTATTTGTATTTCCGTCTTTCTTCCGCTTTCTATCTGTCCATATTTCTCTTATTCAGTTAACCTATCTACCTGATGCCTGATTCTGTCAGTCAGTCAGTTCAGTATTGTTAGTCAGTTCAGAAATCATTCTACCTCTGTCTATCAGTCAGTAATCAGTCTGGGCCATTACAGTCGTCGCAGTCTAGTCTGTCTGTCTGATCTGCTCAGCTTCTTCTGTCTTTCTGTCTTGGTCTGTCTGCTGTACATCTGTCTCTTTGCCTTGTCTGCGTGACAGGCTATTTAACCTTCTTTCCATCTGTCTCATGACTGTTGCCTGCTACCATATCTATCTGTCTGAGTTGACTGACTTTCCTGTCTGTCTGTCAATCTTCCTACTAATCATCTTGCTCGTCTTCATGTCTGCATCTTATCTCTCATCTGTCTGCCTGTCAGTTGTCATCATCCATCAAATTCATATTTCTCGTCTTCCTCTTTACCTTAGCTCTTTATTATCTCTGCTGACTATTAACAGGCCTGCCAATCTGTCTGTCAGTCCATCTGTCTGTCTGTCTGTCTTGCCTGCCTGATACCTGTCTCGTGTTTCTCTGTGTGACTGACTGCGTTCCTCTCTCACTTCTATTTATCTATTTCTCTGACATTCAGCCAGCCTATCTACTTCTCTGACTGACTATTGTCTGTTTGTCTTTCTGCCAATCTGTCCGTCTGTCTTCCTTCCAATCTGTCCATCTGTCTGTCTCTATGCCCGTCAATCCGTCTGCCTGTCAACGCGTCTCCTTCCTCTATCTGCATGACTGTTTATGCTTTTTTTGAAGCATTAATCTGTAACCATGCACATCTGCTTGTCTCGATTTTCTGAAATAAATTGATACCGGCAAAATCTTTCCTTCGGTGTCCTGTCACACCGGGAGAGGAAGTTCTAGGCTAGAAAATTCAAGCAAGTTGTTATTAAATGTGAAACAAAGAAATTATGTATAGCACCTTTTATAGTAGTAGGAAAAGTGCGCAAAGGTATAATTTTCCCTTTCCACACGATAATTACCCCCAATTTCAAAGGCATTTCACAACCTACCCCTTTTGGGTGAATCCAGAAAATCGCTTTTCAACCTCAAAAAAAGATGTGATATCTTTCAAAGAAGTTTTTCAGCATGAATTCTTCGGAAACAATAGGCTAGGTGAGGTCACGGGCGGGGCTAGACAGCCAGCTCCTCTCTCATACCTGTACCCGTTTGTGGCGCTATAGAAAAACTGTTCTGGTCGTGCACTTAGAGAGTGCTATGTTGTAAAATGACCACGGAACGAGGCCTATTTAACGAGTGGGTCGGCCACGGAAAGCAGACACTCAGACCAGCAACCCCAACAAGGACGGTAGGGGGTAAGTTGGACGTTTACCTTCCAAGTTTCGAACCTTGTTTACTATTTGTTCTACTGATTTGGCGCTCCACAGATAATGGGTTTAACAACTGTCGTAGCCGGCGTTGCCGGTTTGGCTGCCGTCATCACCACGTTCAGTCTCATCACCGTCGCTTACCTTGTCAATGATATCAATAACTTTTACGACGATGCTATCGAAGAGCTCGCTGATTTCAAGGTAGATCAGTTTCTCTCTACGATTTCCTTCTTCGGCATGAATATATTGTTTGTTTGTTTGTTACTATTATTTTTAATTAATTATCATTTAGGATTTGGCGAATTCTGCTTGGCACGAGATGAGACCGAGCCCAATGCAGTCCCTTCGACAGCCACGTGCCGCCGTCTTCTTCCGTCAACGTCGTCAGTTCCCTCCTCAATGCAACTGCGGACCACAAGCGGGTGCATGTCCTGCTGGACCGCCAGGACCTCCGGGGCCTCCAGGAATTCCGGGAGAGCGAGGACCCCCAGGTCAACCGGGTAGAAGGGGTAACGATGGTATCAAGGTTTCAACATACGGAGGACCAACCGGTTGCATCCAGTGTCCTATGGGTCCTCCAGGTCCACCAGGTATCGATGGACCTCCTGGACCACCAGGAATGGACGGCATGCCCGGTGGCCGTGGCTACGGTGCACCACCCGGAGCACCTGGACCACCAGGACCACCTGGAGACGCTGGTATGCCAGGAGCTCCAGGAAATCCTGGCACACCAGGAATGCCAGGAGCGGACGCAACTCGATCTGCAGGTTTACCTGGACCTGCTGGAGCACCCGGACCAATGGGTCCTCCTGGAGCACCCGGAGCAGATGGACAAGGTGGTGGTGTTCCACCTCCAGGACCACCTGGACCACCCGGACCGCCTGGTCACCCAGGTGCTCCTGGAGTGGATGGAATGGCAGGCGAGCCTGGTGCACCAGGTATACCTGGCCGTGACGGTGAGTACTGCCCATGTCCTCCTAGAAGTGCTGTATACCTGACTAAGAAGTCAGTAGCAGCGGTGCAAAGCTACACCGCTACTCGCAGTTCTGGAACATCATCGGGACTTTACAAACGTAGGGCGATGAACACGGTCAGACGAAGTATTAGGAGAAATGCCTACCCTAGGAAACGCATAGCGAAGGCTTAGATATTGTTTTCTTAGAACTACGACTGCTTGATCATTAGCCTTCTTTGCCAGTTTCGATTGTGGTATTCACAGAAATGAATAAAGCATTTAACTCGAGTGAACTCTTGCATTTCAGTCAGAAAATTTGTCAGTTTCTCATGAATTCTTTGATGAAAGCAAGGAGAACAGCCGCTGTGAGGGGGGGGGAGGGGAATTTGTGGAAGGTCATGAGTGCTGATGAAAAACACCCGAATATGAGTACAAGATCAGACCACATGAAAAATGGCGACGAAAGGAAACTACTGCTTTTGAGGAGCCCAAGGGAACATTTAGGCAACTTTCCAGAGAAAAGTTCCCGCCCCCAGCAACTTTGACTGATGAGCCTGGCATGGGTTTGTGGAAGGCTCTGGAAATCAATGAGTTTTAGACGGAGGGGTATACTGGCAAATAGACCAAACGAATTAGACTGCAAATAGACACTTTTCCTCTAGGGGTAATCCTGGGTCGTTTTCAGCCCGGGCGAAGTGACTCTTATTCCATCCCGAGGCATTAATTTTTACCAGATTTGTCTGACGATTGAGGACGGGGCCGTGCATTGGCCTGAGGGCACGCCATTCATGAGGTATCTCCAGCGAGCTGGAATTTCGGCTGCTGGAGGGAGAAGATCGTAGTTGCCTTTAGGAAAAATTTGAGCTGTTGATTGCCTTCGGTTTTCCCGTTCTCGATGGTGAGCAGGGCGGGGCAGGGGAATGGAGAAGGTCGTTCAAAAGGATACTATATCTCAAAATAATCT